ATATAAAAATAAAAGCAAATGCATATTAATAAATACTTTAATAGAATATATAATACACAAAAAATGGTTTACTCAAAACTTGCTAGTAAATTTCCCAAATAATTACAAAGATATGGCATGTCACACATCGAATAAAAGCATGAAATTTTGAAGTAGAAAAACTATAAAATAATAATTTCTTGTAAAACATATTCCAATCATCTTTGTTTTATTTACATCTTCGAGAAATCTGTTTTTACAGTGTACAAAATCACCACCATTGCATCAGTTCGTGGATAAGTGCATGAATGTTTCATTTCAGACTGTCTTCATACATCAAGACATGTTCTTAAGTGACCTGCCTGTTCCAATTACATAAATAAAATGCCACATGGAATAAGAACACGCTTGTTAAACAAAACCCCTGCTGACCAAGAATCACGATTACTATTGCTCAGACTCAGGGTTAGTGATTTTAACAAACCATTAGCCCCAACTTCTGCATTGTTTGTGATATGACATGAATGATACCTCAAATTGAGCAGATGGATTTACTTGAGCCACACTAAAATCTAATATCTAAGCCTAAACTCTCATGTTGATGTTGCTTTTAGCTTTATAGAGCATGTTTTTTGTGAGAGTGAAGGGTCAGGTCATGGTTTTTGTCTGACATGGAGTCACAGCTAGTGGAGATAATTAGCACAAACCTCCGGAATTACGTAAACTATCAGACAAAGAGTTTGGAGAAAACACTCCACTCTCCACTCTCAATGAGCGCACGCTCTCGAAACCGAACTCCATGACATTGCAGCACTCGGAGGTGAACTCATGGTGACGACCCTGGAAACACTCCTCGTCGTACACGATGATCTGGAAGACAGAGGTTGGGCACCTTTAATGATTTCAAGGGCACAATTAAAGACTTGCATGTTGGGGAAAAGGCCAAATGGGATGTGAAGCACTATAAAAGCAGCAGTGTTACTCAACACCAGCGGTTACATATTAGGAATTATACTATCAAATTATAGCAAAACCTTCCAGATAACAACATTCCTGGAGCACTTGCAATCATTATACAATCCGACTTATGTAAGATTCTCTGGAAGACAACAACTTGTGTCAAGCAAATGCTGAAAAAATGTGGTGTGTGTTGTAAATTGCAAGTCAATTTCAGAAACAATTGCAAAGAACACACTGAAATGCACATTAAAATTCAAAAACTGAATAGCTTTTTCTTGTCAAATGTACTTCAATATCTTTGTTTGATTTACAACTTCGGAGTAAAAGATTGAATAGTATTTTCTTGTAAAATACACTTCTTGTAGAATAATCTTTGTTTGATTTATTTAAAGAAACATTTTTTAAAACTTAAGCTACAATTAAAATGAAAACGGAAAATACAAAAATAAAAGCAAATGCAAAATATTAATAAATACTTTATACTATTATATAATTAATTAAAATGGTGTATTTACTTTGATTAATTTTCACTCCGAAATTGCTAGTAAATTTCACAAACAATTACAAAAAAAAATAGTAGAAAAACTAAAATAGTATTTTCTTGTAAAATGTACTCTAATAAACTTTTTTTTTTTTTTTCATTTAAAAATTCAGAAAAATGATTTTTACAGCATACCTTCCAATGGCCAGAGAACTTGGTGCAATGGTGCGTCATCTCGTTGGCTTGAAAACAAAGAGCAATTTGATACAAACAGTTTAAAGTTACAGATTAAACATATAATTAGTCTATGAAACTTCACTAAAGATAATAGTGATGACAAACCAACACCCCATACGTCTTACACACACACACTAAACACCACAAGCATGGACATGCACATCTGAATTCGACTAAATGAGACTTTACATCAGCACGGTTTGACTATGTGCTCTGATTTTGAGTCATTCTCAAGTTATCGGACCAAGCAGGAAGGCCTCTCTAAAAGAAGCTGAGGGCTGTGGCAGTTTAGACATATGAGGGAAGTGGGGGGGTACAGACAACGGGCCCGTAGCGGAGAAGAACTCACCTCGCTTCGATGCCCTTGGGACGTCCTGATTTGAGAGTGAAAGCTGGGCATGTGCATGTACCCTTTTAAAGCCTCCCCTGGCAAAGGGCCCAGTAAAAGCCCCGGCTCAGCAGCGAAGGAGGGGCCTGCTATTGTCCAGCTGACAAAGGAGGGGTTAAATCTATACAGCTGGAGAAGTGCAAACGCCACACTATCCCCACCTGGATCCAGGCCTGGGCGCTCGGACCTGGACACACACGAGTCACATGAACATACGTGTTAAGGGCCGACACAGATCTGAGCTGGTGCATGTGAAGTGAAGTGAAGTGACGTGACTTGACGGGACATGTGGCCAAGTATGGTGACCCATACTCGGAATTAGTGCTCTGCATTTATCCCATCCAAAGTGCACACACACAGCAGTGAACACACACACACACCCGGAGCAGGGGGAGATGTGCTGGTCTTGGACACATTCCATATATGACGCTCTTGTTTTGGTTTGGTGAATGCGTTGAAAATAATGATTGACAGCAGGGAAGGTCTACAGTGCATGCTGTGAAGATGTCATACACTTACAGTAAATACCATAATAATAGATACTCAATTATTCAAGAGTATTATAATTTACACAATAATATATTTAGCTTTTGCACAATAATATACAGTTTTAAAATAACCCTTGTTTGTGGCCCAGGATAATTAGGTAAATCAAAATTATAGATAACCTTTAAATATGTTGAGGAAAATAATTGATCTTGGTCTCTATTTGTTAATAGTTTGGAGATGTAAAAACAAAAAGTGAAAAAAGCCATTTACATGCATTAAACAAAAAAATTTAACATTGATTGATCATCTTCACCTATATATTATATACAGGGTTTGAAATTAACACCCGCCAACCCGCCAAATGCGGGTAAAAATCAGCTGTGGCGGGTAACGCTGTCAAATCACTAGGTTACTTTTCGTAAATTATGTTCACTCATTAATTTCTTGGGGAAGTTCATGCAGGCCAAATCTGCGCAGGTTTAGCGCAAATACTGAACTCGTGAGACATCATGACATTATCGAGTATTATTGCAAAAGCTAAACAAAACACACCTACAGAGGCGTGCATACGCGACGAGATGAAGTCTGGTTAAAGTAGACCGACACAGGCCTTAGTGCGCGTGCGCTTTTAGAGTGCGCTCTAATAATTTCAAATATCAGTATTTCATGTTTAAAATATCAAAACATTATTTATGCATTTGTAACTGCAGGTTAAAGAATTCCATGTCCCTCTAAGCTGCATTAACATGTGTAAATACATCTAAATGCCACTTCATATGCAACTTCTGCAAAGATTAATTTTTTTTTGGCTAGTAGAAGTTATGAATGGCCGGTAACTTAAAAATTTTGTAGCCAAATTGGCTGGTGAGTGAAAAAGTTAATTTCAATCCCTGAGTATATAGTTCAGGGGTTTTTTTTCTCATGAACCCCTATGACCTAAATTAAAGCAGCACTATGTAACTTTTTCTGTTCAAAATGTGTAATTCAAAATGTATATAATGAGCGAGTACATCATGAATTAATCTTCCAAACTGCGTTTTTGTCTTATTCCGAATCACTACGGTACACTTATAATAAGTACTTATATTTGGACTATTGTAGCCTGGTCGGGTCGTCACCGCTGCGGAGTAACACATACCTGCGTGAATCGCCATAGACATAAACTTAGAGAAGTAGCTCCGGTTGGAATGTTCTTCCGCGGGATGTGTGCAGTTCTGTTTATTAACCGTTAGAGCGCCAAAAGTTACATAGTGCTGCTTTAATTACTTGAAGTTTCACCTGTGATTTTCAATCATGTTAACCTCTCAAAATGTTGTCTATTTGAATATATTTTAAAATGTAATTTATTCCTGTGATTCAAAGCTGAATTTTCAGCATCATTACTTCAGTCTTCAGTGTCACATGATCCTTCAGAAATCAGTATAATATGCTGATTTGCTGCTCAAAAAACATTTCTTATTATTGTGATAATATTGAAAACTGCTGTGCTGCTTAACATGTTTTTGGAAACGGCATTTATTTTAAAATAGAAATATTTTGTAACATTATAAATGTCTTTACTGCGACTTTTGATAAATGTAATGTGTTTCTGCTAAATAAAAGCATTAATTTCTTTAAAATAAACATCTTATTGAGCCCAAACATTTGAATGGTATTATATGTTATTGCTACATTTTACATTTAAATGGACATTATTCAACTATTTACTTACATAGTTCTTATTTATTTAACTGCCATTTCCAAGGGAAACCCTGAGAGACATTTTTTAACCACTCCAGATTATTTTATGTTTTAATCAATAAATACAGACTTCTGGCCTTCATAAACATTGCAAGAATATAATCTAAAATGAAAATAATAATAATTATTATAATTATAATTGACTGTGATAAAACAACTGTAGTAATAATAATAATACATTTCATTCATAGCACATATCAAACATAAAATGCAAGCAAAAAAAGTTCACATCAGAATATAAAAATTATTTATTATATACAATAAGATAGATGAAAACTGTAAAAGGCTTCTATAAAGCTAAAGCATGTTCGCAGGCTGCGCTTTATTTATCATTCTGCTTTCAAAGGTTATTGCTAATCATTCAGTGAGTCAGTAAGGAGAGGCTCTCAAAAGATACATTGCAGTTATTACAGGGCTATTGCAGCATTCATTTGAGAAGATTGTAGCCATATATCTCATGCCACATGTTCAAAGAGTGCCTGTAAGACTCTGTGCAGCTCCATGTGGGATCCTTCTGTTGCATAACAAGCTCATTCTGCGTCTGCTATCACACATACTACGACACAAGCACATAAGATATGGATTCTTATGGCCAACATTATGTAGCAATAATAATAATAATGCATTATATATTAAAAATACAGATTCAAATATAAACATTACAAGCTCTCTAGTATTTAGCCATAATAATAATAATAATAATAATAATAATAGCTATTATTACTTCCAGGGCAGGATGATGGAGGTCCAGAATGAGTGCATGAACGTTTGTGAACGCGGAATGGACAGAGTCCGCAGTATCATTGTTGAGTGCAGCCCGTAAGTCACCGACCAGTGGATATTATCTAATGTGGATGGGAAAAACATAGAGGTTGTAGCTAAATCATTGAGATACTATTAGTTTTTATTAGAATATTGAATTTGATTTTTTTAAATTTAATTACATTTTTTCTGTTACAGTTTTAGTAATTTTGTTTTGTGTTTTTGTCATTTTTATTAGAATTTTTTATGTCTATATAGTTTTTTACTCATTTTTATTTCCGTTTTAGTTTTAGTTATATTTTTTTACTTTATTTACATAAAGTTGCTAAATGAAACGGATACTTTTCAAAATATTTTATTTATTTCAGTTAACGTTTATTTTATTTCAAGTGCCGAGAATGTATTTTCACGGTTCAGTTTTAGTGTTACTTAACTATAATAACTCTGAGCTAAATCTGAACTTGTTGGAACCATCCTTTTCCTTCTGTACTCATGTTGTCATCCCTCCATCCCTCTTTTTTTCTCTCGTCCAAACTGTTGCAAACTGTCTGGTACGCATCTCTCCCTGCTGTCCATGTCTTCAGCTTTGTTGCCTTCGAGCAGACTAACTTCCGTGGCGAGATGTTCATCCTGGAGAAGGGCGAGTATCCTCGCTGGGACACCTGGTCAAACAGCTACCGCAGTGATTGTCTCATGTCCTTCAGACCCATCCGCATGGTAGGACACTTGGGAGGGCGTCGCAACTTCTCCTTATTGAATTCAAATGCACGTTGCTAATTGGTCCAAATGTGTACAGGACCCCATGGAGCACAAGATCTGCCTGTACGAGCTGTGTGACTTCCAGGGCAACAAGATGGAGATCCAGGAAGATGACGTGCCAACCCTGTGGGCGCATGGCTTCTGCGACCGAGTGGGCAGCGTGAGGGTCCCCGGTGGAGCGTGAGTACCAAATCAAAACCTCAACTAACAGCTAACAGCAATGCTATCCCATGTTTTACACACTCTGTTCCTCTTTTGGAAGTTGGGTGGGATACCAGTACCCCGGCTACAGAGGCTACCAGTATCTGTTTGAGTGTGGCGACTACAGACACTACAACGAGTTTTGCGCCTTCCAGCCTCAGATTCAGTCCATGCGCCGTGTGAGGGACATGCAGTTCCACAAGCACGGCTGCTTCAATCTGACCGCCGCAAAACAGTGAACTCACTCCGCTGCAGTCCTGTAGCATAATGACTAGCCTTCTCATGGTGCTTTTTATCCCCGTACCGCCCCCTTTTCTCTGACTCTTCCACCCTCCCCAGAATAGATTCATTTAAATTGTCCCGGACATCTAACTGACTTTTTATGATGCCAATAATAAACATGTTTTGGAAAAACAAAAAAGCTGACTTCTCTTGTTATTCTTTCCTTAATTTATTATTAGCACTAATCTGTAACATTAAAGGACTTAAATAAGCAAATACACAGTACAAATACACAATTCACTAAGCTAAAAAAATTCCTGCATTTTCAGGGAAAGTGTTAATATTCAAAATATCTTTTAATTAATAATAAAATAATAATAGAGCTATTTTGTTTTTAAAAAATCTAATCTCAAAATCTCAAAAATATTCCATCATTTGAACATAACATGTATTATATAGGGTTAATTATATGTTTTAAATATAGTATTTAAATATAAATATTTAAAACATTACATTGTAAACTTTTATAAATATTTTAGATATTATATAAATATTATATATACTGTTTAATTTATATTTTTGTAATATAATATATATTTTATAACATAATGTAAACTCAAATAAATCATTTGGTCTAATATCTGTAAGCCTGTTATTGATCAGATTTTGCATTAGTATTGCAACATATGCGTTTTTATTTAAATGTATTTTATATGATTTCACTGCTTTAATACACCAGTGAAGCCTTAATTTACTTTACATTTCGACATACATGAGTATAAATTAATATAATCATGTAAAGTTAATTTAATTTAAACAAAAAATTGCTTAAACTAATGTCTGTAAAACAACTACTGATCAGATTATGCATTAGTATTGCAATGTATACAGTTTCTGTATCGAAATGTATCTTGTACTATGATTTCATTTATCATAATAGAGCGAATTGTCTGATTTACTTAGATAATTTTTTAATATACATACATTTAATAATACAAAATTCAAATGTATATTTCATTTTAAACTAAAAAAAAATCTAATAAAACAAAACGTCAGCGTTACGTCATGATCACATGATCCGACCGGTCACACACTGCTTCCTGTTTACTGTTGCGAAAGCAGTTACATCAGAGCCAAGATGGCGGCGCTTTTCAAAGCACGGAGAGGTCAGTGGAACTGATTATTACTGTATGTTTACACCAGTGCCACTCGCAGCTCGTGAGCGACTCTGTGTGCACGAAATATGCCGCTGGATGCATTTGCAGCTAGTTTATTAAAAAGACCAATGCAGAGTGATTCTAAGCACATAAAGTGCACAAACATCTGTACGACTGTCTAAATTATTATTGGTAATTGAAGAAATATTAACGTAGAATATAATCCTTTCCTTTATATGACGCTGTTTCGGTTAGGTCTAAAGTTAACATCATTAATAAAATGGTCAATGAATGGAATAAGAAAAATCACCTTCTTACCTTATTAAAATTCCCTTGAAAATGATTCTCCATGATTATGCATGACCACGTTCAACTACCGTACATATGCAATGTTAGTTTGCTGTGTTCGTGTTGTTTTGGATGGTTTATTGTCATATGTGGGGTTAATCTTTACCCTGACAGCTGACTGCTACATTCAAAACAAGTGTCATTCAGGATGAATAGTCAAACTGCTGCTTGTTTTTAAAAGAAATGCACGTGTTATGCATTCAGAGTTGTTTGTTCTATGTAACTAATTGTACATATACAGAAGCACATTTCTACAATTTTAATGCACTTTTTTTCATTAGCTATTTTAGATAGCGCACAGTGACCTTTTACCTACTTTTATTCTGCAAGTTCTGCGCATGCGCATAAACTCACATACATAGTATTTCACATACATACATATTAGGGCTGCACGATTAATCGCATGCGATATTTAACGCGCATCTTATGTGTACTGTGTATATTTATTATGTATATATAAATACACACACATAAAGTATATATTTTGAAAAAATTTACACGTTTATACATTTATATATTCATATTCTTATTTAATATTATATATAAATATATTTAATATATAAACAACATTTTTTTTTTATATATACATGCATGTGTTTATATTTATATATACAGTACATAATAAATATACATGGTATACACACATATATTATGTAAACAAAAACTTTTATTTTGGATGCGATCAATCGCGATTAATCGTTTGACAGCACTTATATAGTTTATATATATATATATATAAACTAACATATATCGTTTTTTGTAGATGGGCCATGGTAGTTTCCTGATTTTCTGATGTAAATACTGTAATATTCAAATATTTTTTACTGATTAGATTTTGATTTAGTGTTGCAATTTATGCAGTTGTCCTGCTTTATCATTAACTTATTTTTGCTGAATCACATTTATTTTGCAGTTTTGTTTAATCATTATTCATTTAGTAATTATATACAGTATACATGCTAATATCATCTTCTTTTCTGTATTTATCAGCTCTGGGCATGGCGGTAGGGCATGGCGTTCGCTGTTTGAGCCAGCTTGCGGAGCTGCCAGAGTTGCACCAGATGATGAGGCAGACATGTAGGGATTATGCTCAAAAGGAGCTTGCGCCAATCGCTGCCCAGCTGGACAAGGATCACAAGTTCCCAGCCAAGCAGGTACAAGGAACCTCAGCCATGGAGCTCCACAGTAGTCTCTGTCCTTTGATAAGAGCATATGAGGATGTTTGTGGTTGATTGTAGGTACAAGAACTGGGAGCGATGGGTGTCATGGCTGTAGGGGTACCAGAGAGTCTGGGTGGAGCTGGGATGGATTATCTCGCGTACTGTCTCGCCGTAGAAGAGCTCAGCAGAGGATGTGCATCGACCGGAGTCATCTCTGCTTACCCCTGGGCATCCAAGATGTAGGTGAGTGTGTTTCTTCAGTAGAACACAAACAAAGATTTTTAACTCAAACCGTTGCTGTCTGTCAGTCATATAATGTAAGTGGATGGAATCACGGCTTTGAGAGTAAAAAAAAAACCATACACAAACAAAACCAAATGAAACCCTGCGGCTCGTGACGATACATTGCTGTGTAAAGACACGAAACGATCAGTCTGTGCAAGAAACTGAACAGTATTTATATGGCTTTTTTACCTCTGATTCACCGCAATGTCCAAACTGTCCTGAGCGCGTTCACACTTACTCAAATGAACTGCACTAACAGAGCAATCGCACCAGGGTTAATTTTAATCGAACCAAACATGACAAGTGTGAACACACCCTAAGTGCGCATTTAAAACTGTCTGTATTTAAGCATATGGTTAAACAATGAACTCATGCAATGCCTAAAGAACTCGTGCAAAAAATATATTTTCAGATTTATTTTAAATATTTCGAAAAAATTTCCAAACATATATTGCTGACAATTCCAATCTTAAAATATGTTTTGCATAAATTCAAAATATATTTTGAAAAATATATCAGTACCTAAAAACACCTATATAAATACAGCATATTATATATAAATTGTATATACTGTATGTATATATATAATGATGTATTTATAGATTATTAATAAAACAAATGTATTAATTTTATTAATAAACAATTATATAAATAAATAAATATTTATAAATATAATATTATATTGTTACTCATTTTTCCTCATATATATAGTCACTATTATATAGAATCACTATTGCTCATACTTTACAGGTTACTGAACTGAATCTCTAAGTATCAAACCTGTCCTTTTCATTATCATTTAGCTGAGATTTAATTCTGCATGCGATCGAATTGCTGTGTTTTAGTCGCTGTACCTGGGTCCAATTCTGAAGTTTGGCACAGAAGAACAGAAAAAGCAGTGGATTACGCCCTTCACCACGGGGGAGAAAGTGGGCTGTTTCGCTCTGAGTGAGCCAGGTAAACAAAGCTGCATTTTTTCAAGAGCTCTGTCTGCTTTCTAAACACAGGTGCATGGTTATACTCCTTCACACAACCATTAATTGTGGAGCCTTATATTGAAATGATTTCGTATATAGCTAGATCCATAGAGTTGCCATGTTTACACTAACATCAATGAGAGCTTGTTTTCATCTTTGTATGATATGAAATATGAAATATTTTTGCTATAAAGGAAACGGCAGCGATGCCGGTGCGGCATCAACATTGGCACAGCAGGAGGGAGATAAGTGGGTTCTGAACGGAACCAAAGCCTGGATAACCAACTGCTGGGACGCTTCCGCCACCGTCGTTTTTGCCACAACAGACAAAAGCCTAAAACACAAGGTTCGATGTGTGGTGAATCAACTGATTTGAAAAAGATTGATTATACAGTGTAATTGTAATTAATATTTTTTTATTTCATAAAATTTGAAGAGCTGAAATTATTTGATTTGATTTTATGTATTCACAGAGTGAATAGGGAATTTTCAAATAAGAAATACATTATACAATTATTTATTTTATATATTATTTTATTTTATTTAAAAATCAGGGAATTAGTGCATTCCTAGTGCCGATGCCTCATCCGGGGTTGTCTTTAGGGAAGAAAGAAGACAAACTGGGAATTTGAGCTTCATCGACTGCCAATATTATTCTGGAAGACTGCCGCATCCCACTCGGCAACATGCTGGGAGAGCGAGGAATGGGCTTTAAGATTGCAATGGTATGATTTTAAAGGAGCTGTATGTTATTTTGTGACTGTACTTCTGTACTAAAGCATAAAAATAGCATAATATGTTTGCAGATATTTAGGAAACATGTTCACATGCTTCTTCAGCCAGTTATTCTAATTTTGAAATGTGCATTTTGTGTCAGAATGCCTGTTTTTGTTTTGGTCTGTGTGATTCCGCCCACTGTCAGTTTACCCAATAGTATTTCGGCACCCCTTGTTGCCAGTTGGCGGAAAACACAGCGTATTGCAGCCATAGAAGCCAGCAAATGAACTTGGTCAGAGATCACAGACTCTACCTGACCTAAAAAGCTTTGGCGTCCATCTAAAAACCTCTGTGACCAGAGGCATATTAAAATGCGGATAAATCAACTAATCAACTTACACAGTAAGGCTCGTCACGTTTTATTGTCAATTGCACTCCTGTTGCGTGTCCTCAATCTGGCAACCCGCTTGAGTGTCGAGTCTGAGGAGGAGGAATCAATATTACTCTGCACCTTTAACATGCTTTTCTCGTGTCAGTGTTTTTCTCTTATGTATATAAAAATAATTCAAACTCAAAACGCTTTTGTCAGTTACTGTAAATAAAAACATTGCATTTTAGTCAAGTTATAAAACTAAAGCTCTTTCCCATTTGCATTGTATTTGCTTTGTTTACATGTGATCTAACGCAGTTGTTTTACGTCTAACAGCAAACTCTGGACAGCGGGCGGCTTGGTATCGCAGCACAGGCTCTTGGTATCGCTCAGGCAGCGCTGGACTGTGCAGCTGATTACGCTCATAAAAGAACAGCTTTCGGCGCTCCGATTGGGAAACTGCAGGCGATACAGGTGATACACTGACTATAACTCACTAGAAGTCTCCCTGTATGACATTCAGAGGGAAAGTGGAAAGGTTTAGTGTTTTCATCTTTCATGATTCAGCTGCTGACGTTTCTCTATAAATGTCTCTTTCAGTTTAAACTAGCAGACATGGCCTTGGCCATAGAGAGCGCTCGACTTCTCACCTGGAGAGCTGCAATGCTGAGGGACGCAAAGAAACCTTTCACTAAGGTTAGTCTGTTTTCTCATACTTAACTATTGTTAAGTTTATGGTAAATGTGCTAATGGTTTATTTATACTTGTGGTTAGTGGTGCAATGAAAACACACCTTAGCAACTTAATATGCATCTCTAAGTAGTCCCTGCTCAAACTCTAGATATGTATGTGTGTGTGTTTGTTCTGCAGGAAGCTGCTATGGCTAAACTGGGCGCATCTGAGGCTGCTACGTTCGTCTCTCACCAGGTAATCATCCAATGTTTTTAATAGTAGATATTTTATTTCTAAAACAAGAAACCCATCATTCTGTAGATGCACTAACATGAGTATTTTGTTGAAATGTGAAGGCCGTCCAGGTGCTGGGCGGGATGGGTTACGTCACAGACATGCCTGCTGAGAGACACTACCGTGACGCCCGTATCACAGAGATCTATGAAGGCACCAGCGAGATCCAGAGATTAGTCATCGCCAACAACATTCTCAAAGAATATCAACAGTAGGAGAGCTGATGTTCATGTCAACTCGCTCTGTTACGACACTGTGCCTGGATTGGCTGATCTGGTCGGTCACAGATCTCGGGACTGTGTTACTGTGACTGGCCACTGAAGATGTATTAACGGTCCTCTCTCAGAGATTGAGTGACACAAGACTGTTTGAAGTGCATTTTCTCATTTGTGCCACAAGAGTGCAGTAGATAGTCTAGATCATTTGCCTTTGTATCATAAGAGGGCGCTGACTGTAAGGACTAATTTTCACTGGGAATTTAAATGCATATCTGATTGTACATAATGAATTGTATGTATTTGTTATGCATTTTAAAATGAATAATGATATCAAGTTGTAACACTATGATTTATTTAAAGTTGAAAAAGCTTATTGTAATTCTAAGATCCCTCTGCAGCAAATGTTCTGTTGATATAATTTGGTTTTAATCTTGGTTAGAAGGAAATTGTTCATGGAACACAGTTTAAGGATTTTTAAACTGCTTACATGCACTGGTACAGGTTCCGTTTTTTTCTTTTGAGAGAATATGATGCAAACTTAAATAATGCACTGCTGAAATTATGAACAATTTTAAGTGGGCTCCAACTGTCTTGAGATCACGAGTGAAAATGCTTCTGTTTTGTCTAATTTAATCAAAAATGCATTAACAGCATACAAATGTGTAAATGATTAGTTTGATTAGTGACCTAGAAAAAGAGCAGAATATAAAATATTTCTTATTTTACATAATTATCATATTCTATCAATATCATATTTTTCAATATGTTTACAGGTTTAGGGGAAAACGTTTTATGCATATGGTCCTAAAATTAAAATAACTTTATTTAACCTAAATAATCACTGTTTAATGCATTTGTTAGTGCATGTTCTTCCTGAGTTTGTGACCAGATTTGGCTTCAGTCCCACCTGCTGCTGGTCTCTAATCTATCGGCCACATCAGGGGAGAAGAGGCGCCATCATTTCTTGTGTGCCGTTTCTGTCATTATAGAGCGTGTGAGCTTTTTCCGCAGGACTCAGAACTGGGTCAAAGTTCCAGTATTTCGGAGACCTGAAATGATGCTGATGAGGATAAAGGTCACGGCTCTGACTTTTGTTGTCCTTGCTTTAACAATGCCTAAGATCATACTTAGGCATAACAAAAAAACAAAAACAAATTGTAATCAGTGCAGGTTAAAGGAATGGTTCACCCAAAAATTTGCTGCTAAACATGCAGCTTTTCACTTCACAAGACATTAACTGATGGACTGGAGTGGTGAGGATTATTGTGATGTTTTTATCAGCTGTTTGGACTCTCATTCTGACGGCACCCATTCACTGCAGATGATCCATTGGTGAGCAAGTGACGTAAAGTTAAATTTCTCCAAATCTGTTCTGATGAACCATATTGGGCGACCTGTAATTTTTTTGCAAATTTTCGTTTTTGGATGAATTCTTCCTTTAACCTGCAATGGTTAAAGTGGCCACCCAAAAAGCACACACACACACACACACACAATAAAAATATTAATGTTGCATTAGATTATTTTGAAAAAGATTGCAAAAGCACACCTTTCAAAGCAAAACATTTCACAAAAGGAAAACTAATAATGCATTTTTTATTATTATACTTTATATTTGTTTTTTAAGTATATTGTCAACATATATTAGTAATTTAGGGAGCCATTTAGTATATTTATTCACTTAAATATTAAAACAATCAGGAAATGTTGGTTTATTTTAGAAAGAAATCAGTAATCCAAAACAAACTGCTTTTTCTACAGTTCTTTTCTTATTAAAGTGTACACCAGACACTTCACGCATAAGAAACGTGCATCATTTATGTACCATCAAAATTATGCAACAGGACACATTATTACCAAAAAACGTTTTATTTATTACTTTGAATATGCCCAGATTTACTGAAAAAAGGTTTCATACAACTATGTACAATCAGGAGGTTTAGATGATCAAATCAGTCTCATGTAAAGCTGCAGCCTGGAGTCTAAAGGCAGAACAATAGGCATTATTCAGTGTCTTATTGAAGCACAGAGCGTGTCTAATTAGTGCACTCTCATAAAGCGGAACAAATACAAGAAATATAGACCCTCCCATCTTCCCCCCCTTATGCCAGAGTGATTCAAATCAAACGCAAACAAGTGGGCAGCTGACCCTAATATCATTAACTAAGACAAAAATACCCGTGTACATCTAATTGATTATTACCATGACATACTGTTAAAGGAGCTAAAGACAGAAAAATACAATCGTACATAGTTTATACATACATATACAGTCAAAGTTTATACATTCTGTCAATTGATTATCTGAATGTTTGCTACGTTTGGTACAAGGCTGACTGCAGTGTGACAATATTTCATCTAAAGCTATTTTAAACTCTTTTTTGGCATAATTACATGCACTTTTAATGAATATGCAATATTAAAAAAATAGTTTCTCACACTCGTTTAAAAAAAAACTGAGCCGAGTTACAGCACCTAAAAGTACATTCTCATATAAATTTTAACCTACTAGTCCATGGTTGAACATTGAGGCTCACACGTAGTTTCGTTTATCATAGTCCCCATTGACTGATGCGCTTTTTGTAGGTGGAGGTATATATTTTAGAGGATACAAGGTTTTCTCATCATGTGGACGAGAGAAACAAAGAATCACTCCTCCGACCAGAAGCATGGAAGATGCTGCCCATCCGATGTAGAGCGCAGCTCCAATTTCTCTCTTCTTTGCATAAGGGACTTGAGGGTCGTAGAAGTCCGAGATGATGTTATTGGCCATCCAGCACAGAGGCACCAACACAAACAAGCCTGCGATGATGTATATCACCCCTCCGACATTGACTACTTTGGCTTTGATGGACTCTTTACTGATGCAGTTGGTGCACTGAGCGCCGGCGATGGTTATCATCAGAGCCTGGACACCCAAAACCGCTGAGATGACCGTCAGAGCCCGAGCAGTCTGGAGGTCAGTGGTCAGTGCCAGGACGGAGTCGTGCATTTTACACTGCATCTGACCCGTGCTCTGGACCACGCAGGACATCCACAGCCCGTCCCAGATGTTTTGTGCCACCACGATGTTGCCCTCGATGAAGGCGGACACTTTCCACATGGGCAGCCCGCAAGCCACCATCACCAAAAGGGTCCCAGTGACGCTCAAGCCAAGTCCAATAATCTCCAGACATGCAGAAATCATCTTTGCAAAGTTTTTTATGCTCTCGTTCTCAGTTTAGAAAGTCTAGAACCCGTAATTTGTTCAAAGAAGGTGTTTAGAGCAGAAGTATCTCTACATCGCTCGGCAGCGTTGTAGAATGAGATGCGGTGGAAGTTTTCTGCTCTTGTGTGTCGGGAGGATGCTGTTATAGTGCACGCGCGACAAAGAGGAGCGGCTCCAGCCAATCAGAACGCAGCGCGTCTCCCGACAGCCAATCAGAAGTGAGAGCCGCTGGACAAAACTGTTTGCATCATTCACAAGGAGTTTTCAAAAGTGACAGTAGCAGCAACATACTGGAAGTGTGACTTCCTTGTCTTCCTGGTATTCTTTAGGTAGAAAAGCCCCCTTTACACAAGGGGGGCAGGTGTCAAAACAAGCACTAAAATGTATAAGATAAGAGAGAATTTCGTTATGTTGAAAAGGCACGTCAGAAATAATTGGCGACGGATGAATCCGCGCCTGAGGTGGTGAAGCGACCACGACGTGAATCAATTATTTTAGTTAAAATAGCCCATAACACCGATACTAATG